TATTGACTCAGCAGCCGCTATGGAGAAGAACGCAGCGCTGCACAGATCACGGTGATCTGAACAGCGGCACGTTCAAACCTATAGCAACCCAGGCGGCCCGCACAGCATCACTGGGGTGTCCTGGCCGGGCCCGCCTGTGCCCGGGCCCCATAGCGGCCGCCTGGGTCGCTATGGCTATTGTTACGCCACTGCACACACACACACACAGGTTGAACTGGATGGACCAGTATCTTTATTCAGCCCTTCCCTACTATGTAAAAACACTGCTTGGCAATTTACTGTAGCAGAGGTGGTGTTGTCAAATCAAAAAGGAAGTTAGGGGTTTGCTGGATTTCTGGCAGGATCAACAGTTAGGTAGTTTTCTGTACCTGCAGTGTGCATGTATTTGAATTTTTGTTCTTTTCTATTGCCCAGACATACATATTAAGAAGTATGGTACATTTTAGCACCCTACCTAGTACTCCAGGAAGTAACAGGACTGCATGATCACCAACTCCCGTGCGCTGGAAATGTAGATTGACACCATTAATGTGCACTCTTTCCGAAGAGACTGAAGTGCTGTGGGAAGACATATGTCAAAACACAGTTAACATGCTATATCCTCTACTCACTTTTTCATGAAACCATAAAACTTGTAAGTTATCAGGGAAGAAAACATTACAGATAAAAGACACAAATGATAGAAAACCTCATTTCATTACAACTGAGACTGCTTACTGCTTGTTCTTGCAGTAATATGGAGTTACACAGTATGTAGTCAATAGAACTGACTGGCATGGCACTCACACATATAGTAAATAAATACTTTTCTAACATCAAAGCCAAATTTTTTGTCCCCATAGCATAGCTGGAATGTAACACTAAGGAGGTTATTCACGAAAGAACCGAAGGATCCATCCGTAGCTTCGACTGATCCTTCAGCTCTCTTCGGCTGGTCAAACCGAAGGGCTGTGCTGTATTCACTATAGCTCTACAGCAGCCGAAGGCGGCCAATCGGCTCAGCTGAGCCGAAGGCGTATGCTTCGGCTCGACTGAGCCGAAGTGACAGCCTAAGCAGGGCGACCGGCCTGCCAAAGGCCGGCCATAAGCTCCGCAAATGACAGCTGGGCGGAGCCAGGCATGGCGTTGTGGCCGGCTCCGCCCAGTTGTTATTCATTAACCGACTCCTGCTAGAAGACTCTGGCAGGTGCCGGCCAATAGGAAATAGTTGGGCGAAGCTAGCTGTCACTACCGAGCAGAATAGCCGAGTCGAATGCTGCTTGGCTTTTGGCCCCTATAAGAATAGGGGTGAACGGCAGCGAGTGAGCTGCCGGAGTCGGCTCAGCCAATCCAGATGTTGAATCGGCTCAGTCGAAGTCCTTCTGCACTTCGGCTCAGCCAAACATGCAGAGCATTTTCGGCTGCCCGAAGTGCAGCCAAAGGCAGCCGATGTACGGCTGATTTTAGCCGATGTAAGGCTAAAAACAGCTGTACAAACCAGAAGTGAATAGCCGAACGTAGCTCAGCTCACTTCACTTCGGCTGGGTTATTCACTCGGCTGCCTTCTGCATTTTTTTTTTTTATTAGATTTTTTTAATGCACAAAGGCATGCAAATTGTTGAAAGAACTCTAAAAAAGTCTAAGGTCCCTTTCACATGATCCGATCAAGAGGGTATCCATACATGGATCCCCTACTGATCAGAACGAATATCATCCTTGTGACATCCGCGTCTGTGCAGTTTTTTCCTCTGTCTTTTTATGGAAGACAAAACTGACATTGCTGGACCCATATAAGTGTATGGGCAGCTCATCCGTTTACATCCGGTTACCACCAATCACGCACGATCAGGTCTAGCAAAATGGATCTCGGATCCGTCTGTTTTTCTGGACCTGTCCGAGGGTAACCGGATGTAATCAGAAATCCATCTGTTTACATACGACTGGCATACGCTAACAGTCGGCTTCCAATAGACGGACTTGATTAGAAAGCAAGCATGAAAGGGGCTTAAGGTCTCCATCACCAGAGACCAAGACGAGCATTTAACCCTTGCAGTGTTAGGGTAGCCCTACTGCAAGGGGTAATTTTTACATGTCCTTCTTATTTAAATCTTAATATGGAGTAACATTAAATTTAAAGCGCAAGCATAGCCAATACCGGTATTTGTTTTTTTGCCAGTTTTTGAAAATAATAAAAAAATAGGTAAGGTTCCTATGAATTTTATTTCTCTTGTCTATTTCCCATGTGGGGGATTTCCCTTTCATTCCTACCCCAGAGACACAGCAAGAAGTAAAGATCTCTCCAAAGTGAGGGGAAATCCCCCTACAGACATTTGTCTCTAGAAAAGGTTTCCCCTTGGAAGATCCTTCCTGTCCCTGTTGCAAATCAAAAATATTAAAATCCCCATCACTTTCTGTACTGGAGAAACTGGTCAGCTGCACCATCAATGAGAGTGAAAGTCTCCAGCATGGACACAGACATCAGTAAAAAAAAACAACAAACTGACAGAGATTCCAACCCCTCGCCGCTCTATCCAAAAAAAAGTTTCCGCACACAGTTTAGGGCTCATTCACACAGACGTTACCCCACCTAGAATAGTGTGTTGGGTATATGTAGGGTATAGAGAGATGTTTATGTTCAACAGTAGCCCCTCAGCCTGTGCATATCAATGACAGGCCTGAGAAACTCTGCAGCTGCCCACATGTATTTGCACATGGAGCTATTACCTGTGGTTATGGAAAGAAGATTGGCCCTGGAAGATCAGCCATGGACACAAAACAGTCTGCATACATGGCCGCTGATCTGTCCCTAACCATATGTAATTGCTCCTTGAGTGATTACATGTGAACAGCAGCAGTCGGGGTCATCATGCCATAGGCTTCTACAGGCTTCTTGTCTACAGTTAGGGTAGCCACCTTTTCTTCAAGCTAAACCCGAACACTTTTATTGCGGGGGGGGGGAGAGAGAGTTGTATTGCAGCACGGTGAGAAAAAAGTAGTTAATTCTCCTACTTTTTTAATGCATGGTATTGTGGAACCACATGCTGCACTGCAATGCATGTCTGCTGCTTGGGTTGCCATTGAAATGAATTGCAGTGCATCATACCAAGCGTGTGGAACCACACACTAGGTGACTTGTGCAATAGCATGTGCTAAGTGCACACAATGTGAATGGACTCTTAACCCTTGCAGTGCGGGCTGTAGTCGCACTGCAAAGGTAAGATTTTTTATGACCTCTTTAGGGCTAGCTCACACCAGCCCCAGTGCGTTCTGGCCTGATTGGTGCCGGAACGCACTGGATCACATTGTTTTGGGGCGGGAGGGGGCATGGCGGTGCATTGAATTCAATGGCACTACAGCCACGCCCTCCGGCCGCAGTGCGATCGCCAGCACAGGAATCCGTGGAACATCAGTGCCTGCCTTCCGGTCAGAAAGAATGCTGCAGGCACTATTTTTTCCGAGCACACCGGAACGCAGGCGTTAATGTGCCACACGTTCCGGTGCAAGCAATCACACTGCGGCTGGAGGGCGTGGCTGCGGTGCCATTAACTTCAATGCACCACCACGCCCAAAGCAAAGTGAGCAGGCGGAAATGTGATCAAGTGCGTTCCAGCACCATTCGAGCCAGAACACACTAGGGCTGGTGTGAGCTAGCCCAAAATAAGTCATAAAAAAAAAAACGTACCCTTGCAGTGGGACTACAGCTCACACTGCAAGGGTTAACGGTCCATTCTCTGGTTGACAGAGCCTCACTAGCTGAGGTTGTTGCCATGGTAACCCCACCCAGCCACACCTCTGATCTGGAGTCAGCTCTCCTCTGTCAATAATGAGCATGGAGGGGAGGGGGGGGCAACTGAGGGACACAAGACCAGCCTGAAATACTCACAGCAGCTGGTCATTCAGAGGCAATCCAATGCTGTCAGCTCCCAGAGGAATCACTAACATTCTGCATCTTAGAGGCGGCGATACCAGCTTCACTGCTCACAGCCTCTCAGCACGGATTACATTATGACAGGGCTGCAGGGCAAAGGAACTGAGACGCTGCCGATAGGGAGATTTAGGTTGCGCTCAGGGACTAAAATCAGGACACATGACAAGCATGTGTCCGGGTAGAAGCTCGCTTGACAACCGAACATAATACATAGTGGACACCCATCCCCGGACTGTCAGGGTCAAACCCATACTGGTGGCAACCTTATCTACAGTTGAATGTAAATACCTAGAAATACACTGATCTGGGTGGTGTATGGTCACTAATTGCTGTGTGAATGTACCCTTATGTGAACTCCAGCCCCCCAGCTGTTGTGGAACAACAAGCCCCATGAGGTATTGCAAGACTGACAGTTACAGGCATGACTCCTAGAGACAAAGGCATGTTGGGATTTGTAGTTAAAGCACAGCTTGAGGGAGCTGGAGTTGCCTACCCTTGCATTAATCTCTGCCTGAGTTTAAAAAGAATTGATGCACCAGGTAATTGTAGCCGTATTAGTGCACTTGCAACAAAACAATGGAGTACTGTCCATAATACTTTTTTTTATTTGTGCGAAGGTCTCGTTTAGACGGAAGGCTGAGGAAGTGATAAAATCAGATGCTTCATCCACATTTTTCTCACTCCTCAGCCACCCAGTGTGACGTTAGCATTGTGAACGGACAGTGCTGGATACAATGCTGTGATGCTTTGCTTCGTGGTGTGGCACAAATGATACAGCGTGTCGTATTTGGCAGGCAGCGACTATAGAGGTGAATCCTCTTGGGATACAAAAAAAAAAAGAAATGGCATTCAGGATGCGGCAGCATCACCAACTGAACACTGGGCAGCCGCTGCTCTACCGTCCTGTGAAAAGCAATCCACTGAAAACCACTTTTTACAGGCAGACGCCCATCTAAGCAAGATTGTACAATCTCCTTTAGATCTACCAACAACTGTGTAGTGCAAGGGCCTGCCTGATTGGATGCAGAGTGGTTGGATAGGCTAGGTAGACCCCAGCGGTGTCACTAGGCTGGGTATCACCCGGTGCGCACGTCATTATCTTACACGTACGTCACGTCACGTGTACTTCACTGCCGGAGGCCATCTGGATGAAGAGGAGGGGACTTTAATGTGCTGGGATAAGGTATGCAACCGATTTTTCAAAGGGGGTGACACCAACAGGACGGTTAGTCATGTTGGTGTCACCCCCTCTGGTGGTGTCACACGTGCAGGCCATACCCTCCCACACCCCCCTTTGTGAGGCCACTGGTAGATCCTTATATTACATAGTTTAGGTAAATCTAAAGTTGATTGTACAAGGATTATACGGTCAGATTGTGACGTGTATGGTGACCCTAACAGATACTTTTGGGGAGTTCCTGTCTTCTCGGTCTGGGCAGTATGTTGACATGCTGCTAAAGCTTTATGTTATCAGTACTGCTTGGACTGAGAAGAAGGGAACACCACAAATGCTTGTCCTAAAAATGTTAAAAAAAGAATTGATCACATTGCCATATACATTTCAGGGAGCATGATCATGAAATCTTCCACACACAAACTGCATTTGCAGCCAATCTTGTTAAACAAATGAATGTCTGTTAGGCCTCATGCACACTAACAGGCTATGTTTAAAAGAGAACTATGAGGTGAGTAATTTCCACTCATCCTCATAGTTATAGCGGACCTGTGACAAAGAAGCTGTCACAGGTCGGTTCTATTGATTGGGAAGTGAGCAGAAACATGTCCGCTCACTTCCTGATCATCTCCCTGCAGTGAGCAGTGACTGTCAGTCACCGCTCCCCGCCAGGATTCCCCCCTCCCCTCTCCGGTTCTCCAGCACTGAGTGGAGGAACGAACGGGGGAGGAGGCGGGCACAGCTGGCTCTGCCTCTAGATAGGCAGGTGGTGTGCTCGTGACATTTATTCATCTTTATACTGCGTGGCGGCGCCATCCACAGGTCACTACAAGCACCCCCCCTCATTTAACTTTGAGTTTTTCCGGTAAGGAGTGCGACAAGGTAATGCTTCCCACATCACTTTTTCCTGTGCTGGGCTTAATCGCATTGCACACGATTTAGCTGCCTGAAACTGGTCAAACGGTACCGGGACGCAGAAATTTCTAGTTTGGGTAAACTGAGCTAGACTGAATGTACCTAGACCTTGGGTGGAACTACAAGTCCCATGAGGCATTGCAAGACTGACAGTTGCAGGGCATGTTGGGATTTGTAGTTAAAGCACAGATGGAAAGCCAGACTTGCCCACCTCTTACGTATATGCTGCTGGAAGTCTAGGTGTGCATTCACTCATAGAAAAGCATTGCATGAGTCCAGGTGCCTTTAGAAAGGAGCTCCAAACGCACCTGAACTTATTTTAGTGTGCATGAGGCCTTACACATTGTAGCACATTGTCTTAGTTGTAACCCAAAGGCAAACGTCTGCACAGCAGAGGAAACAAAAACTGCGTCTCATGTTTACACTGCACGTCAGCCTGTAGAAGACATGGTTTTCAGTGCAGCTCCTGGCCATATTAGAGAATAATCTGCTTTCCCAGTTCTCATGAAAAGGTGTAGTGTCTTTACCAGAGAGGTGCAGCAAGCCTGTGAGGAGGTGAAGTCCTCAGTACACAGCGCAGGAGCTGAACAGTACAACGCTGCAGTACACAGGACGGAGCCATGTTTCTGTAGCAGCTGCCTCATATCCAAGATCCTCCCTCTATTAAACTAACAGCCTCCCTGTTTATTACCACACAGCTAACTTGACTCCTATTCACTGCCATCTACAGGCACCACATCTATCTGTCTGTACTGTGCTTGCATCTTACACCATATTTACTGACGTATATTCACACCAGCCATCTATGCTGAATGATCGACTGCAGGTGTGCGCTGGGAGCAACAGTGCTGCTGCTCTAATCCCAGTGCACAGCGGTGTTGCTCTGCGGTAGTTTGCATTACAACACGCTGCGCTGAAAAGAAATATGACCTACTTTTTTTTTTTCCAGTGCACACAACAACATGTGGTGTTCGCTGACCTCATTGTAACCCAGGCTTTTCGCCTTGCCTATGCAGAATAAGGGCTCGTTCACAGCACATGCGTTAGCAATGCAACCCCAATGCATCTGTTGTGAATGAGCCTTTACAGTGCATAGATCAACACAGACTTAACACTAGGGCACATAGAAGACAACTGTTTTTTAGGTTCTCTGTTCACACCACAATGCTGTGGTGAGGTGTGCAGAGTTAAAACGCAGAATATTTGCATTTTTATGGAAATCAACTCAGCGCTCCACATTTCACCACACAACTGACTCTGCAGTGGATAGACTTGAATAAAGTGTTATTGTTGGCACTTCAAAAAAGTTGAGAAGAAAGGTGAAAAAATGCAAACAGGGCAATACTTTGTAACAACACATTGCACCACCCCTGCGCATGCTAAAATACCTCAGTCTGGTTTCATTTTCCCATTGTTTTACCAAGTTCTGCAAACAGAGAAAGTACCTGTCATGAATTCCATGTGTTTCCAGTGTCTCTGGTATTAACAACTAGTGATAAGGCTGGGCTTGGTGCAAACCCAAGAGGTGCATTCCCTACCCCGCTGTTATACTGCACAAAGGGGCAGGGAATGCCGCACCTTCCGCCATTGATCGGGCCAGGAGGAGGGGGAATGGTGGTCACAGTTCTGAGTGGGTTGGGGTGAACTGGGTTCGCACAAAGCCCAGGCTCATCTCTACTAACAATCAAGGTATATACAAAGTAGCGGGAGACTCCCGGAGCTTCCGGGAGAGTTGAGATGTCTGAAAGTCCTTTTTCAATATGGCAGGATATAAAACAGGTATATACAGTATAGCCATTACTAGCTTTACTTCTAAAGTAATAATGTAATATTAAATAAATACAGTAATACCTCGGTTCACAAACGCTTCTGTTCGCGAACAGGAAGTGGTTGTAGCTTCCTCTAGTCGAGAACGCAGACAGACCTGTGCACACTTGCTGTGAAGCTTTTTTGTGTGCTTTTTAGCACATACAGTACTGTACAGTATTATTCAATCCAACATGGCTCCAAAGAAAGTGCAGAGCAAGCATGGTATTAAAAAGAAAGTGCAGAGCGTTAATGAATTTACATATGGTTCAGAACGGATTATCCTTATTTACATTTCACCTTATGGGAAAATTTGATTCTTTTCGCGACCACTTTCGTAGGGGTCAGAACGGATTAACCTTATTTACATTGAACATTATGGGGAAATTTGATTCGGTTCGTGACCAATTCGGTTCGCGACCAGAATCGTGGAACGAATTAAGTTCGTGACTTGAGGTACCACTGTATTCCACCTTCTGGATTGTGTGACTCTGCTTCACGTTATCAACAGATCCATTCACAGGATCTGTGAATGACAACGCAGCAGTGGGATTGGTATATCTCAATGGACAACAAGAGTGCTGACATCATTCCCTTGATTACTTCCTCCAGTCCCATAACTGAAGGTCTGTACTTTGGTATAGATGTGGAGCTGGGGGATTAGCTTGCAAGAGCCTGGGCACTGCACCCACGATACAATGATTGTGGTTGTAATGCCTTATGCCAAAAATTATTACATGCACATTTTTTCTTTCATTAATGTGTGCGCATTTATGAATTTTTAACAAAAAGGTGGACTATGACTTTAATAAAGTTATAATTAATAAAATTATATAATACTGTAATATGACCTTAGGTCCATAGTTGCTCCATGCTATATTACCATGCTATAAAATAGCAGTCAGATCCTGTAAATACATTTCTCCTGGAGAGGAGTCCCCAGTCGGTCACACCGCTGTTCACTTTCCCTTTTGCATTTTTGTCATGGTTCTCTGTGAGACAGACACTGACTGTGTGACTGTGGCTGAACGTTCACTTTGCCTCATACATTAACCATAGAGAAGAAGTGGAAGTGAAGACTGTATCCAGTGACACACCGTAGGAACCTATGCCAGCTGAGAAGTATTTCAATACTGTGACTGGCATCAGCTTGAAGAAGCAGACGATAGTGTACACCCTAGATTTGCTCTGTGTAAGCTCTGAGTAGGATCAACTTGGTGCTTGCACAGGGCTTCTTCTTGCTCCTGGTAGTGAACAGAGAGGAAAGGCAGCTAAGTATAAGCTGCTGTGGGGGCTAGCTTTAAAGTGAACCTGTTGCTTTGCCCTGTGTAGGCAATGTACAGATTAACTTTCAGTAAAATGTTTTACTGTACTTTAGCTCCATGTTAAAGTGGAACTCCAACTTGTTTCTCCCTCTGGTGCTTGGTGGAAAACTGTGTTGGTCTTCACTTTCGCTCCCCTCTCAGCTGTGTGAAGGGCATTGCAGCAGGCACACCTCCTGTCTGGGGATGTCCATCATCCAACAAGAACCAATGAGCATCATGGATACGACCGTGTCAGTCAATGCTTCTGTGTCCTATGTGGTGCACACCACTTCCATAGAGCCAGTTTCATTTAGATGGCAAAAACCCCATCCCTTTTTCATTTGGAATGTTGCTGTGACTAGTGTCTGTGCAATGTGATCTAGACTGCAAGGCACAATTAACAACATCTTGTTTCATTTGGCTGAGAAAGGGTTAGGTGTAGAGAGACTCCCCTTCCTTCCTCCCTATGCACAGTAAATTAACTTTTGTATAGCTGACAATGTACTGAATGTTGTTTGGTTGCTTTCTAGTATGAATACAGTGTTGCTTCTCAGTGAGTAGAACTTACTTGCTGTGTTCCGTCTTGTATTAGGTGATAATGTGTGCTGTATTATCCGTTACGTAAGCAGTAAGGAGTATGGAAGTGGAGTTCAGACTTGTGCTGTGCAGAGCAGACTAGACTACTGCTTTTGTAGTGAGATTTGAGCTGCAAACACATGTAACACACATCATCTGTTTTCTTGTTTTCTACAGATTACATTTAGGCAGAGTTGTGTATATTAGCTTAGATAGACATGATGTCTGCAAAATAGCAAGTGGGCATTTTAAACTGAAGTTCATCTGATTATTTGCCCCATCAATATGCTAATGACATTTTGAAATACAACCTTTCCATTTTCATTACGTACCTTATTCTGGACCCAGTAATGCCATCACTGGGTCTGTGTGCTTCTGTTTGCAATGCAGGTAGCCAGGACACAGCAGGCAGGGGGAAGTATAAAAAGATAGATTGCTGCAAACCGGAGTTGAGGTTTAAGCATAAGAATTCTTAACAAATTATGTTATTTATAAGTAGCACCATATTTTTATTAATGCCTTCAGTAGGCCTAAAAACATACATGCACACCTCTAGCCCAACCCTTAAAGGAGAACTATGGGGTCAGGGCTTTCCCCCATAGTTCTCCTAAGGGTAACGGAAGGACACAAACTAGCGTCCTCCCGTCACCCAAAGCTCAGTATACCGCGTGCTATAGCTCGCGGTATACTGAGATGCTGCAGCCGGGACGGATCCCGACATTACTGTCTGGATCCACCCAGCTGCGTTACAGCTGGCTCTGCCTATCTAGAGGCAGAGCCAGCTGTGCCCGCCCCCTCCCGTTCCGTCAGTCAGCGCTAGAGGATCGGACAGGGCAGGGGGAATCCCTGCAGGGAGCCGTGAGTGACAGTCACGGCTCTCTGCAGGGACAGGATCGAGAAGTGAGCGAACGCCGGTATGTGTTCGCTCACTTCCCGATCTATTGAGCCGACCTTTGACAGTTTCATTGTCACAGGTCGGCTAGAACTATGAGGCTGAGTGATTTTCACTCGCCTCATAGTTCTCCTTTAACCTTCAGGTTGATCGTCTGCAGTGCCCAGTCTACCCTCATTCCTCAAGGGACAAGATGGAGGTTGTGCTTCCTATAGCACCTGCCTCTCACCTTATTGGAGAGAGGATGAAGAAGTGCTTTCCAACCTTTCCTTTGGTTAAGCAGAGGAAAATGGGGGCTGGTGTAAAATGCAAGCAAAACACATGGCAAACGCACTCATCAACTTGTTACCAGCTTTTGTCAGGGCTTCCTCCTGACAAACCTGCACCCAATTTTATCTTTTTCCCCATGTGCTCCAAGATGGAGACTCTGATAGTTTAGAGTTAGGACCGCACTATTTAGAGGTGCCTTGGCGTGGCTGTGCGTCTTTCACATTTTCTGCAGAAGACGTGTATCTAAACCTCTGTTTCTAACCTTAGCGGTGAGATAGGTTTTTTTACATGCTGCCTGGTGAGTGTGCTGGGAAAACTTTTTGCTGTTTGGTTTAAAATGCAGGCACGCCTTGGTTGGATCTCACTGGGATCTCATTATTGGATGCAGTCAGTGCAGTGGCCCCCAATGCAGGATGAGGTAAGTATGTCAGCCACAGCATCATATACAAAAAAGGGGATATTTATCAGAGCAGAGAGGGAGTGAGGCTTCATGGACCAGTCTAGCAGGCAGCTGGGATCGGGTGAGTATAACTGTTATTTTAGCTCCCTAGACAAAAACGAACGAGGTTAACCCCACTGCAAGGGTTAAGATTTGATATGCCCGGAGTTCTTCTATAAAACAGAGTTCAACATCATGCACAGATCACCTCACAGGGTCAGTCTAAAGACTGTAGGAATGTATTTCCTGTAAAATACACCTGTTTGTACAACTTCTGTTCTGTCAACTTCTTTCTGTCACATTGATTTACTTTTTTTTTTACTAGAAAAGAACTGCACACATTTTAAATAAA